CCCCAAACCCCCATCACCACCCCATCCCACCATCACCACCACCACCCACTACCAACACACCCCAACCCCCAACCACCACCCCCCCATCCCACCTTTCCCCCCAACCACTACACCTCACACCACCACCATTTCCCCCCACACCACCCCACCACTCCCAACCACCCCCCACCCACACCCACCACCACCACCACACCCACACCCACCCTCCACCATCCCCCCAACCACACACCACCAACCACCACCCCCACTCCCCCCACCACCACCATACCATCACCCCCACCCCCCTACCACATCCCAAACCACTCCCCTACCACTCCATCACCCCAGCACTACCATCATCACACCACCATCACCACCCCACCACTACCATCCCCACCCCCTCCCACCACCCCCCACTACCCACCCCCCCTCCATCCCCCACCCCCTCCCCCACCCACCCACCATCCCCCCCACTACCACCCATCACCAAAATACCATCACCACCACCTTCCCACCACCACTACCATCTCACCATCCTACCTCACCACCACCACCACTACCATCACCCCCACCTCCCCACCATCCCTCCACCCCCCACCACCACTACCCCACCCTCACCCACCACCATCACCACCACCACCACCACCCACTACCATCACCACCACCACCACTACCATCTCACCACCCACCACTCCACACCACCCCCACTACCATCACCACCACCACCCCCTACCATCACCACCACCCCACTAAATCATAAACCACAACCACCACCACCACTACCATCACACCACCTTACCATAACCACCACCATCACCCCTACCATCCACCCCACTACCTCATCACCACCACTACCATCAACCCACCATCACCACCACTACCACCATCACCACACAATCCCCCACCACCACTACCATCACCACCACCACCCCCATCATCACCACCACTACCCTCATCCCACCACTACCATCACCCCCACCACCATCACCACCACTACCTCATCACCCTCCATCCCCACCACCACTACCTTCCCACCACCCCCTCACCACCACCACTAACCACCCATCGCCACTACTACCATCCCACCACCATCACCACAGCCCTACCTCATCATCACCACTATCTCCACCACACCACTACCGATCGCACACCCCTACTACCATCAGTCACCCCACTACCTTCACCACCCCTTCCCACCACCCCACCACTACCATCATAAACCATCATTTACCATCCCACCACCACCATCACCACCACCATCCCCCACCACCAGTACCATCACCACAACCACTAACTCACCCCCAAACCACTACCATCACCACCACCATACCATCACCCCCACCACTAACATCACCACCACCACACCTCCACCACAAACCATCACCACCCCCACCACTACCATCATCACACCACCCCTACCTTACCACCACCACCATTTACTTTCCACCACCACCACTCCCTTCACCACCATCACCGCCGCCACCACCACTACCATCATCACCACTACCCCACCACCACTCATCATCACCCCACCCCCGCCACCATCACCACCACCACTTCCCCGCCGCCCCACCCTACCTATCACCACTCCCAACCACCCACACATCATCCACCCCCCCCACCGCCCCCATCACCACCCTACCCCATCCCCAAAGACTACCCCCCAACACTACCCCAAACCACCACTACACCACCCCCCCCCACCCCCACTACCACGCCCACCATCCTCACCACCAAGATACCACCCCCACCCTACCACCCCACACCACCCCACTCCATCACCCCACTACCATACTAAACCACCCACTCCCACCGCCCACTACCACTAAAAACCCCAAACCCACTACCTTTTGAAAGTTCTCATTACCACCTACGTCATCTTCCTGGCTATCGTGATCTTTGTCTGCTTATGGTCTTTTAAAAGAACGGTCAGCTGACAATTTATTCCCAAAGTCTTTTACGTTGTTCTTTGTTCATTGGGTGACCCTCTTGAGTTTTTCGTATATAGTGTTCCTTTTGAGTTATTCTTTCTTTCCATCTTATAGCACTGGATCTTATTCAGGCAATTACCAGTGAGAACACCAAACTGTGTGCTGCTAACTATTCTATATGATAGTTACACAGTGGTAACACCAGTAGTGTGCTGCTACACTATTCTATATGGTAGTTACACAGTGGCAACAAAAGTTAGCTATGTTTCCCTGTTAAATTTCATCACTCAGGATGGTGCTTATATAAGGTATTGAAATGTGTTAGCCTGAGCTGGGAGATTTCAGTACTGTTAGCCTGAGCTGGGAGACTTCAGTACTGTTAGCCTGAGCTGGGAGATTTCAGTACTGTTAGCCTGAGCTGGGAGACTTCAGTAGTGTCAGTCTGACCTGGTAGATTTTATTAATGTCAACCTGAGCTGGGAGACTTCAGTACTGTTAGCCTGAGCTGGGAGACTTCAGTAGTGTCAGCTAACTGGGAGACCTCAGGAGTGGTTTTGATACCAACAGGGTGCAGTTACTTTCACCTGGGAAGTTTACGTCTCTCAGCACAACTTACAAAATACACAACTGAGGTTTGCCGTTACTATACTGGAAAGTACGTTCTCAATGCACACCTACAACATACACCACAAGAGGTTGCAGTTACTATCACCTGGGAAGTACCGTCTCTCAGCACAACTTACAACATACACAACAGAGGTGCAGTTACTATCACCTGGGAATTACCGTCTCTCAGCACAACCTAAACCTACACAACCAAGGTGCAGTTACTATACTGGGAAGTACCGTCTCACAGCACAACTTCAAACTTACACACAGAAATGGAATTTTTGGAAGATATCTCGACAATCCCAGAGGGACAGCAAGATAAATTATTCATAGAAGACAGAGAAGAGAGGAGGGGGATGGAAAATAAAACTGGATATCATAACACTGCAGATAACTAACCAGATATACATACAACCGTGCATAACACTACTTGGAGTCTACCTGGAAGTTATTCCGGGGGATCAAAACGCCCCGCGGCCCGGTCCATGACCAGGAACAGGTCCTGATCAACCAGGCTGTTACTGCTGCCGCTCGTAGTCCCAACATACGAACTCAGCAGGATGATCCCGGCACCGACCTTAAGTATCTGTCAGATCCTCTGAAGACAACCAGGGGAACCTATGGTACTTTCCCTTATGGGCAAACGTTTTTTTTTGCATCTTTTCCAATTTTTTCTTGAACTTACTGAAAAATGTCGAGAGATGAAGGACACATTCGGCGTATAACCAGGCGGAGACAGCCTCTATACAAACGTGCACGAGAAAGATTACTGGGTGAGCACTGCACCCTGCATTATCACCGGAAGTTGATGATTAAGGGACACATGTGTTGAAACAGATGTCTACTGTGTAGGGCGAAACGCTGTCAACAATAAAGATACAAAGGTGTTACACATGTATCTTAATCTTTAATTTGTCGGTATTGTACATAATTTTTCTTAAACCATCACTGTAAGTAAATATTTTGAGAGAAGTTCAGCAGCGTATATGAACCAAGTAACCTGAGGTGACCGCTGTCCAGGAATGTGACATGCTGTCAGGAACCTGAGACCTGCTGTCAGGAACCCGAGACTGCGTCAGGAAACCTGAGACCTGCTGTCAGGAAACCTGAGGACCTGCTGTCAGGAACTGAGACCTGCTGTCAGGAAACCTGAGACTGCGTCAGGAACCTGAGACCTGCTGTCAGGATACTGAGACTGCTGTCAGGAACCTGAGACTGCTGTCAGGAACCCGAGATCATGCTGTCAGGAACCTGAGACTGTGTCAGGAACCTGGAGGACCTGTTGTCAGGAACCTGAGACCTGATGTCAGGAGCCTGAGGACTGCTGCAGGAACCAGAGACCTGCTGCCATGGAGCCTGAGACCTGCTGTCTGGAACCTGAGACCTGATGTCAGGAACCTGGAGACCTGCTGTCACGAACTGTGACCTTGCGTCAGGAAAACTGAGACCTGATGTCAGGAAGTGAGGACTGCCTGTCAGGAACCTGAGACCTGCTGTCACGAACCTGGAGACCTGTTGTCAGGAACCTGAGACCTGCTGTCGGAACCTGAGCCTCTGTCAGGAACTGAGACCTGCTGTCCAGGAACCTGAGACCTGCGTCAGGAACCTGAGACCTGTCTGTCAGGAACCTGAGACTGATGTCAGGAACTGAGACCTGCTGTCAAGAAACCTGAGACCTGCTGTCAGGAGCCTGAGACTGCTGCCAGGAACCTGAGACCTGCTGCAGGAGCCTGAGACTGCTGTCAGGAATCTGTAGTCCTGATGTCAGGAACCTGAGACCTGCTGTCAAGAACCTGGAGATCCTGATGATCAGGAACTGAGACTGACTGTCAGGGAACCTGAGACTGCTTTTAGGAACCTGAGACCTGCTGTCAGGAACCTGAGACCCTGATGTCAGGAACGTGAGGACCTGATGTCAGGAACCTGAGACCTTTGCTGTCAGACCAGAGACCTGATTGTCAGG